TACTATCTGTACCAAGTATTACTAAAGTACCTGGAGAGTTTAAAATCTGAGCCGGATTTTTCACAAATGATTCAAATGTTTCACTTTTCATTTCTCAATTTTTTTGTTTGACTTTTTAACTAATTACTTTCACATATTGTCCAAATAATTTGCAGACATTTTTCACAGAAATAAAACAAAAAAATTGGGGATTTGTTATTACATTTTTCAACACATTTTGATATTACTATTATTTGGGTATTTTTCTTAACATATTTTACATTTTTAATCCGATGTTTTTCTGATATCCACAAATCGTGTCATTATTTATGATATTCACAATTTTTTTTACAAATTATTCACATATTTTGCTCCATATCTCTGGAAAGTAACTCCGACTGTTATCACTCATATTTCAAAGATTATTTCAGAATTTTTTTTCACTAGTTTGTTTTTGCCATATTTGAATGTTTGGTATTCTTCTGTCAGGCAGCGAGGAACTGTCTGGTGAACGAGCAGAACGTGGTGAAGGTCTGCGACTTCGGGATGACCAGGTACTGACACATTTCATTTATACACATCGTTAATTAAATGGGGCGGGACCAGAGGTTGCGCTAGACTTTTTCGCTGCCCGTCATTTTGACGGACAGGATCGTACAATTTCCGTCAAAATCTATTATTACCCGTCGGTCTGTACACAACTGACGGGGGGAAGGGGGGGGGCGGAAGAGCACGCTCGTGAACTGTCAAGGGGGGGGATTAGCGCCGGTGTTATGCCGTGTTGTGCATGCCCACTGCACCTCGCGGGAGCGCGCCACAGCGTAAAGCATAAACTCCCAGACATTTCAATGATTTGTGCGGCACAGTTAGGTCTGGAAACGACATGAGGGCATAACACCGGAGCCCGCTGCGGGGAAACTTTGGCGCTGTTCTGAGTTTGTTCTAATCCGTCAAAATGACGGACTGCTTTCAGATTTTTCCGTCATTGTCAAAATAATTCGGTCATAGACGGAATATATTCGGTTAACGCGACCTCTGGGCGGGACATCTCTTAGCGGTTGACCAATCAGCTAACCAATCAGAGCAGACTGGGCTCTGGCTTCAGACAGAGGGTGAAAAGAGGTGCTGCAGCACAGGCAGTATGAGAACAATAAAGAGCTTTTTGAACATTGAAGCCATGTCACTTTGAACATAATTCTGACATGCGTGTGTTCAGGTGTGTGTTTTCAGGTGTGTGTTCTTGTGGTGTGTTCAGGTACGTGTTGGATAATCAGTACACCAGCTCCAGTGGGGCGAAGTTTCCAGTGAAGTGGTCTCCTCCTGAAGTCCTGCACTACAGCAAGTACAGCAGCAAGGCCGACGTCTGGTCCTTCGGTCAGCACACACACACACACACACACACACACACACACACACACACACACACACACACACACACACACACACACACACACACACACACACACACACACACACACACACACACACACACACACACACTTAGTTCAGATAAGATAATAAGTAGTTTATCGATCCCAATTTGGGAAATATAGCATAAAAAGACATGGCAATGTACAATACAAATAACATTTTGTAAACATCTCAATAGAAATAAAATAGCATTAAAAAAGTAGAAGATATACATGTTCAAATGTACAGTAACAAAATATAAAGCAGGATATTATATATACATAAGTATGTGAGGAATGGAATATTAAACTATTAACTGTATAACGAATGTGTGTGTGTGTGTGTGTGTGTGTGTGTGTGTGTGTGTGTGTGTGTGTGTGTGTGTGTGTGTGTGTGTGTGTGTGTGTGTGTGTGTGTGTGTGTGTGTGTGTGTGTGTGTATGTAGGTGTGGTGATGTGGGAGATCTACTCTGAGGGGGCGACTCCCTTTGAGTGCCGCTCTAACACGGAGGTTGTCATGGAGATCACGGGAGGAGGAAGACTGTACCGACCTCACAGAGCAACACAAGCAGTTTACAGCATCATGTACCGCTGCTGGCACGAGGTACACACACACACACACACACACACACACACACACACACACACACACACACACACACACACACACACACACACACACACACACACACACACACACACACACACACACACACACACACACACACACACACAACACTGCACAGAGACAGGATTTTGTATGACTTTTTGGGGGAAATTGTACTCAGAGATCTTGAGTTTCTTCACTGAATATGATTCCCTTCACTCTGTTATTATTATTCATTGTTAATTTATAAATGCAACCAACAACAGTTTCTTGTCACTTACTTTTTGCCACAATTTAAGATGTTTTTTTGGGTTTAAAGGATTGTTTTTCATCTCTTCTTCTTCTTCTTCTTCTTCTGCTTTAATTCTCTCTTCTTCGGTGGTGTTCTATGTGGGAGTAGAAGCCTCAGGGTCGCCCGTCCTTCTCCGAGCTCCTGGAGGACATCAGGAAACTGGCAGAAAATACGGAATAATCCACACTTTAATTGTATATATCGCTGATTATTATTATTATCAAACTGTTCTTCTGAATGTACACAGATTATGTTTTTGTTTATTGTAAATAAATATTTTTACATTAAAACCTGTTTCTGATAAAGACAGCAGGGGGCGGTAGAGAGCTTTGGGTTGGATATAAAGTCGCTTATTAGGCAGAATATGACATGTTCATGACTGTAAAGGGCGGTTTGTAATTGTAGAAATAAACATAAATAGGTCAGATTTCGGGAAGACGCCCACCTACAAAGTAACTTCATACAGTGAGGTCTGACATGTAATTACTTTTTAATTACACCTGAATTATAGATCCTTAAACATAGATTTTGAAGGAGGTTTGTTTTGACACACAGTAACACATCTTGGTTATCCAATTTGGATCCTTTATTAGTCTGAGAGACAACATCCAAATAAATAAAATTGATAAGTGTAAAATATCACACCTAAGGCATCTTTCAAATGTCATTATTTGTGCTGCACTGAGCATGCGCAAACAAAGAGAACACATGGCGGGGGGTGTTACCATGGAGACACACATACACACGCACACACACAGCCACAGT